GTGTGTGTGTGTGTGTGTGTGTGTGTGCAGATGAAAGACTGAGTCCACGTGTGCTCATGGCCAGCCCCCAGCCCCCGAGAGCATCTGGGCTGACATCCAGGGCAGACAGAAGCACTCTGTAGGACGTGGTCTGGGAAATGATGTTCCAATCGTTCCGACGACTCGGGCCCACCTGGAAGCTCCAGATCAGGAGAGGACACTCCCACGCAGGCTGCTCTGCAGGGACAGGGAGCCAGGCCTGGCTGCACATGCCTCATTGCTAGTCTAGGCACTTCTCCCAGGCCTCAAATTTCCATAATGGGAACTGGATATAATTAGATAATTAATTGGGGGGCCTGACTTACATTAACCCCATTACTGCCAGTTTTAACACCATGACAACTGAGGAACAGCACTGCTTATGGGAAAAAAAAAAGAAAAGGCTGCAGCCATCTCTCAGGCAGCTGCTTTGTTCGACCGCTTTGTACTCGGCCCAACGCGCCACGGGTAACAAGGAGCATTCAGGGAGCAGGAAGCCCAGCGATCTGGGGCTGCACAGGAGAGGCCAGTCCTCGAGCAAACAGCAGATGAAAGCAAGTCACCCCCTTGATCAGGGACATTTAGGCCTAATAGCTAAGCGTTTATAGCTTAGGGGTAAAACAACCCAAACAAACAATTCTAAGCTTTGCAGACCAACATTACCAAGAGTCCAATACTCTCCTGCCTAACCTCTCCCACTCCCTTCCCTCCCCCTCCCATAAAACAAATAGGTTACTAGGCGATAAAGCAGAGTTGGGAATGTGCTGACTCCCATGGCCGGCAGCAGTGTGGACAGAGGCTATACTGGTATTCTCCTGAGCCTGGGGGGCGAGCACCCGTCTGCATGGGCATGCTAGCAAAATCCACACCCTAATCCTCCCAAGGCACAGAGCATAACCCACGGTCGCCACGCCCAGGTCAGGCTAACTGCCCAGGAACTACCAGTAGTTCTCCGTCCAGACCACCCCACGGGACCCTCACTGACACCCGTGTCTGCTCTGAAAGGCCCACACAACCCCGGCACGTGCACTCGGATCCACTTATTCCTGCTCCGGGACGGAGCCCCTCTAGGGAAGCGACTGCCTCCTCTTCTGCTCCAAACCACTGCCAGCCTTTTTCAGGCCGTTTGTGTTTCTCCCTGGCAGAACAGAGGAATCAGCTGGCCTGGCACGCCTGCCTCCCTTAGCCAAACTACTCTCATGCGTAGTGCTGGGCACTCAGCTTGTGGGCAAGCACGCATAAGGGTTCTGAAGTCTACACTCAGGGCTGTTAATTGCATGTGATGGAGTCCTGGTGGCAGTGTTTAAGCACTCAAATGTTAACTGAAAGGTCAGGGGTTCAAACCCACCTGCCACTCTGTGGGAGAGAAATGTGGCTGTCTGTTAACACAGTGTGACAGCTTTGGAAACCCCATGGGGCAGCTCTACTCTGTCCTGCAGGGCAGCTGTGAGCTGGACTGGACTTGACGGCAGCGGATTGCTGTAGACGCGTGTGTGAGACGGCCAGAGAGACGGTCGGAACAGCTAATTAGTTCTGGCTGCTGGCGATTCTGACCTATAAAAATACACGTGCCCGCCAGGCACAGGGCATGGCCTCGCCTCACTGCCTCCACCTCAAGGTCACCCTGACTCCTCATGAACTACCAGGAGCTCTCAGCACGGAAGAAGCTGGGGTGCAAACACACTCCGCCTAGGCTAGGCTTTGATTGGCGAGGAAGAGGGGCCTGGGAACATGCAACGGCAAATGGGTGCGGAGCCCCCACCTGGACTGCATCTCAGCTTGTGCTTTGGACTGCTGATGAGGCGCGGCTTGCTGCGGCTGGTGAGGCTGGCCCTGGGAGGGGGTGCCAGCTGGCTGGGAGCCGGCGGGCGGCAGAGGTGAGGAGAGGTGGTGGTGGTGCTGCTGCTGCTGCTTGTACCGCGAGAGGCTGAAGAAGAGGCCTAGGATGGCCTTGAGGTTGCCATTCCTGATTTCTGGAAGACAAGGAAAAAGACTGTTATCATAGGGGGACCCTTTTCTTCCTCCCCCTCATGGGCTGCTGCAGCCCTCGCCCCACTTAATTCCTTTCGGATATGACAGGTTTCCAGAACTCTTCATTGACATCATGATTCAAATCAGGCTGGGACCACACAGAAATTAGCCGATTCTCAACATGGGTGTTACAGAGGCTAGGCCATGCAAGTTGCACCGGATGGCTGGCAAATGATTGGGAGCCCTCGTTGGTCTGTAATCCACAGAGTCAGCAGTTCAAAACCACCAGCTGCTCTGAGGGAGAAAGAGGGGGCTTTCCGCTCCCATAAACAGTGATTCCAAAACAAAAAAACCGCAGTGATTCCCGGAAACTCACAGGGCAGTTCTACCCTGTCCTAGAGGGTTGCTATGAGTTGGCATCCACCAGATAGTAGTTTGGGTCTGATTTTGATCTGGAAAATGCAGAGGAAATTCTCCGTCAGAACCAGGGGGCTTGAAACCGGTTAGAACCGACTCATTCATGGCCCACATCATGAAATCAGAACAGACCACAGTTTTTAAAACTGGGCTAATGCAGAGTGCTGCCCACGCTATCCAGGGATGGCCAACAGGGACTGGCCGAAACCCTGGAATGGGAGGTTTGGAAGAGTCATCGGAACCTCGTTTGGGAGCCTGATGTGGGCGACAGGACCATTGCCAGGACTTCGGAACGTGACACACTCTCAAAGTGACAGGCCTGGCCGCCATCTTTGAGTGGGGCACCTGGCTTCGGACTCTGCCGCTAAAGTGGTCTGGGTTGCTTTGCGACACGTGTAATGCCCTTGCTTTCCGAGAAGGAGAGTAGGTTTCTATAAGAATGTGGACCCCCAATTTTACCCAATCTGGTTATTGGCTATTGTTGTGATTCACCCACATTTCACGAAACTGGTCTGATTCCGTTTCACAGCATCAGCCACTACTGAGCCAAGGAGGAACTGGTTCGAAGCCCTGCTATGAACATAAGTGGAAAACATTCAGGGATCCCCGAGGGAGACAGGCAGAGCAGCCTCTCCGGGGCGGGCACTTCTTTCTGCACCACCCCTTAGTTTTCTGAAAAGAGATACCCTTTTCTGCAGAAAAGGGGGGGCGGGGGCGGGGGGGGGGAGTGGGGGGCAGTGCCGGTGCTGGGGAGAGTCCTGTCTTGACACTGCCCTGGCAAGTCCTTCTTTCTCAGCTTCCGGCCACCTTCAGTGTCCCGCCCCAGGGCCTTCACTCTGCTTTAGGCCATCACCTCGCTCTCAAATACCGGCCTCCGCTCTCCTGTCCACTGAGTCGATAGCTTACACTTAGTGGGGAGCAGCGGGGAGCCGACGAAGACGTGTTTCCATTAGAATTCACAAACAGCCTCTCTTACTTTCTATCATAAAGATGAAAACAGTGCAGGATGGGGAGAGGGGCATTTCTAGTCCAGTCTGCTCCAGATTTTAAAATGCATTTGCCTCAAGGCATGCATAAAAAGTCAGAGAGAAGGAATAAAATATTTATTCCCAGGCAAAGGCTTGGGATCTGTAAGGGTGTTTCTCCTGGGGCAATCCACCCCTTCACGCAGCTCTCTGGACACCAGATGCTGGTGGGCAGGGTCTGAACCGGCCCTGAGGATACAGTATTAGTGCAGCGCAGTGGACTGGCTACAGATCCTGGGGGTTGGGGCACGCACCCTCAGTTCCTCTGCTTGGCTTACACCCCTTGTTTTGCTGCGAGATGCTTGCTGTGAACTGGCAAGGGAGAAGAAGCCAGGCTGTGGTGGTTGGCAGCCACAGGTCTGTCCCCACCTCTTGGCAATCCCGTACACAGAGGAACAAAATGCTGCCCGTTACTGTGACACCTCCATACTCGGTCGGAAAGGAGACCATGGTGATCCATAGGCCATTGGCTGGTTTTCAGAAGTCGGCGGCCAGGCCTTTCTTCCTTGCCGTCTTAGTCGGGAAGCTCCACTGCAAACAGCTCAGGATCACAGTCAACACTCAAGCGTCCACTGACAAGTGGGTGTTGGTTGTGCTTCAGGTGCACTGGCCAGGAACAGCTCGGAGTCTCCTGTATGGCAGGGAAGCATCTTTCCCGGAAAGCGTGGAGGCTGTGCTAGCAGGGCAGGAGGGGTCAGCCTTGCCCTGTAGGTAATGCCCACCTCCACGCTGGCCCTAGGGTCGGAGGAAGCAGCTGTTGAGAAAGGAATGAGTTTCCTCTGAGGCCAAGTCAGAGAGCAGAAGGTATGAAGGGCGGCCCTTCAGGAACCAGCTCTCGTCCTACAAAGGCTGCCTGCCAATGCCTCCTGCCGGAGGCATTCCGCTGATGGGGCCAGGCGGAGTTACTTTCTATTGGAGCGTCTCCTTCTCCGGGCTCTGGAGAAGACAAGGAGAATTCCTAGAATTCAGCCTTTACGTTCAATTTCAGGAGCTAACAGGTCTCGATGCTGCCATAAAATCAACAGAGGGACAAAGCCGACATGCCAATCGATACACTTTGCTTAAAGTAAAACCAAACAAAACCTATGGCCACGGAGCTCATTTCGACTCATAGTGACTCCACAGGACAGAGTAGAATCTCCTCGAGGGTTTCCATGGTTGTCATCTTATGGGAGCAGACAGCCAGCCTCAGTGCAGCTGGTGGCTATGAACTGCTGATCTTGGGATAAGCGGCCCTATGCTTGACCCACTACACTACCAAGGCACCATCCTCTTTGCTTACTCTCTGTGTAATCACAGGCAAGCCCCTTACTTTATTTGGCAACAATGACAGCAACTAAAGAAGGTGGAAATGCTCACACAGTATCATCTGTATCACATGAAAGTAAACTTTTGCTGTAGATGATGCAACAAAAATCGGAGCAGACCATCAGCAGGGAGCTTCCAGAGATTCAAGCTGAACTCAGAGGAGGACATGCACAAAGGGTAGCAGCACTAACGTCAGAGAACACCACAAAGATATTTTAGTTGTGTTTCATTGATTATGAAAAGGCATTTAACAGTACGGATCAGAACAAAGTATGGACAGCCTTGAGAAGAATGGGAATTTCAGAACACTTCACTGTGCGCATGTGGAACTCAAGGCAGTTATCCAAGCAGAACAAAGAAATACTGCATGGTTTAAAATCAGGAAAGGTGTGAGTCAGGATTATATCCCTTCACCAAATTTATTCAATCTGTATGCTGAGCAAAGAACTCAAAAAGCTGGATTATATGAAGAATGCAGTATGAGGATTGGAGAAGGCTTATTAACAATGTGTGATATGCACATGACGCGACCTTGTTTGCTGAAAGTGAGGAGGGACTGAAGCACTCGCTTGCTAATGAAGAGCAGGGATTGAGGCCTTTGGTGTGGATGACAACTCAATGGGAAGAAGACCAAACTCTTCATAACTGAACCAATGGGTAACATCGTGGTCAGTGGAAAAAAGTTTGACGTTGCTAAAGATTTTGTCTTGCTTGGATCCACAATTAATGCTTATGGAAACATTCATAAAACCAAAACAAAAATCAAGCAACCTATTACAGTGGGTAAATAAGCTGCACAAGACCTCTTTAAAATATTGATGACCAAGGATGTTACTGTGAGGACTCAGGTGTGCTTAGTCCCAAAGCTATAGTATTATACCCAATTACCACTATTACTTAGACCCAAGCTATAGTATTTTCAATCATCTCATCTGCATGTAAAAGTTGGACATTGAATTGGGAAGGATTGATACATTTGCATTATGGTGCTGCCAAAGAATATAAAAAATACCATGGACTGCCAAAAGAACAAACAAATCTGTCCGGGAAGAAGTATAGCCAAAATGCTTTTTAGAAGCAAGGTTGGCGAGACTTTGTCTCCTGTAGTTTGGCCATGTTTATCAAGAGAGACCAGTCCCTGGAAAAGGACATCATGCTTGGTAACGCGTGGAGGGAAGACCTTCAACCAGAGGAACTGACTCAGTGGTTACAAAAATGGGCACTAGCAGAACAATTGTAAGGATGGTGCAGGGCCAGGCAGTGCTATGCACAGGATTGCTCTGAGTCAGGGCCAACTGGAGGTCACCTAACAACAGCCGTGGTGGTGTCGTGGGTTACAAGGTGGGGTGCGAATCACAAGGCCTGCAGTGCAAACCTCCAGCCACTGCAGGGGAGCGAGAAGAAGCTTTCTGCCCCTGTACAGAGGTACAGCCTGAAACCCACGGTGGCAGTTCCACCCTGTCCGACAGGGTCGCTGTGAGTCAGAATTGAGAGACCTCCTCACACAATACTGACAAGACTGAGAGCATGCACTAGTCCAGGTCAGGCTCTAGTCCAGGTTGTTAAAGGAAGATTGCAGACCCAGGTGCTGGGTGAGATTCCCAGAGAGGGCCTACTTTAATGCTTTAGAAACCACAGTTTTCACTAAAACCAACTGTATCACACGTGGTAATTTTAAAAGCATAGATTGTTCGTTGTTGTTTTTTACTATTTTTTTTTATATATGAAATCCAGGATAGATAAAGCTATAGATAGTAATTGAACAAATGGTTCCTCAGGGTATGGCAGGGGCGGTTGGGGGGAAATGGGGAGCTAATTATGATGAGTACAAGAATGAAGAAAATGTTCTAGAACTGATTGTGGTGATGATTGTACAACTTTTCTTAATGTGACTGACCTATTACATTGTATGATATGTGTCAATGAAACTGTTGGGAAAAGAAAAACACAGCACATACTGTGGAGCCTCTGACACTTTTGCTTACTCGGTGTCAGGGTACCATGCTCCAAGCTGGAAGCTCCTATGTTCAAATCCTAATGGCAGCATTCGTTTATTGCTTGATTCTATCCTTAGCTCTGGCTATAAGCAGTGATTGACTGCTTCCTGGTGTGCCCCTGTGAGTCTTGGTGGCCACTGTTGACACCATGTTGGCTTGAAGAAGCTTTGTCACACACAGTCTCTACCTCCTATAGCTGTTAAGTATCCATGGTTCATCAGTTTATTCCATTGTTCCCTACAACATCTATTTTTC